GTGTAGTATTCCATTGTGTGAATATACCACAGCTTCTCTATCCATTTGTTTGTTGATGGGCACTTAGGTTGCTTCCAACTCCTTGCTATTGTGAATAAAGCTTCAATAAATATGGGTGTGCATATATCAGCTTGGATGGCAGTTATGGTCTCTCTGGGGTATATTCCCAGTAATGGAATTGCTGGATCAAATGGTATCTCTATTTGCAACTTTTTGAGAAAGTGCCACACCGCTTTCCACAATGGTTGCACCATTTTACATTCCCACCAACAGTGAATAAGAGTTCCAGTTTCTCCACAACCTCGCCAGCATTTGTTGCTTGCTTTCTGTTAAATTTTGCTATTCTGATTGGGGTGAGATGATATCTCATGGTTGTTTTGCTAACCTTTCTTTTAACAGCCCAGTACATAGTTCATTTTACCACTACAGGGTAATCAGATTTATAAAAAACCTCTTACATAAAGCAAAATGCTTCCCAGTAAGTATCTGTCTCAAGATGTAAGAAATTATTCATAATTGTGGAGAATTTTATGAAATGTAGGTCCTTTTATGTTGTTACAGCAATAGCCTCATTGTTGAAAATTGTATCCCTTAAATATTTGAACTGTGGCAGTGGTTAATTAGGGTGTTTAGGGTGCCTTGGAGAGGTGACTCTAGCCAAGATAGAATGCTACAGTGGATATAAAAGTGAAAATAGAAACATCTTTGTTTCTTCCCTATTTTTTTAAGAGCAGTAGGAAGAAAGACGTGGCAGTCTGCTTCTGTAAAGATTACAGCCTTGGAATTCACCTAAGGCAGCAGGACAGAAGTGGCTTGAGAGCAGCTAGTTTAGTTCTGGGTGAAATGGTGAGATGGATTTAGCATCCTCTCCAGTAGAAAGATGGTAACTCCTAGAGAGGACAGCCGTTGCAGCCTGACTAGGTATATTGATGTCATCAACAGTTACAGTTGTCTAAAATTAGCAAGACTTAGTAAAATGATGGTGTCAGAGAGAGTAGAACTTAGCGCAGTGATGTAAATATTTTCTATATGTGCTGTTCAGTATATTACCCGCTAGCCATATGCAATTGTTTAAGAAAGAATTCAAATGTGGCCAGAGTAACTGAGGTTTACTGAGTTGTAAATCCATTTTTTAAAGGCTCCTTGTGACCATTGGCTACCATATCATACAGTGCTTTGGAATAATCCCTTTTCCTGATTCTTGGCATTCCTTCTCACAAGACCTCATCACTGCTTTCAAAAAGCACAAAGCCCATGGAATGGACTAAGAAATAACTAACCTTAAGATTAAGAATATGAAAAGTAGAGAAGAAATGGGATATGGCTGCCTGAATGCAACAGAATTGAGATGAAAGATTAGAGAAATCTTAAAACAGAATATGACACTGACATGTCTTTCGTGTTTGTTCTTCAGTGTTCCATTTCTTCACAACAGAACTTACATAGTGAGAGATAATCTAAAGTGCCTCATCATTTCCCCAGACATTTGACCTCTGTAAGCTTTATTAGTGCTATTTCACGGGGAAAAAAAATCTCTTTAAGTAGTCTGATATTCTCTACACTCAGAAAACTAATGCCCGTGATTCACCATCTATTTATTATGGATTTCTTTTTCTTTAATTGCACTGTAAGCTTAAAAGTAAATAGTATATTCTTCTCTTAGGGGTTCACAGTATCACCCAGTGAAGTACTCAAATTCCTGAATTATTCACTTACTCAAAGTGATACTTTGGAATTTGTCCATTTTTCCCCCCCACTCAAGTTCTAAATTTTTCATGGCCTTTTTTCTGTATGAACTTCAGATCATCTCATCAATTTTAAACAAGAGATCAGGGTTATTTAATAAGTTTGCCACTTTTCTATATGATCTTTTATTTATCTTTTATTTAAAAATTGAACCTTAGCTACTGGTCTCCTGTGAAAACTTGTGCTACTTCATTTAGGAAATACATTCAAACCTTTGGAAACTTTACAGTGGAATTTGTTTGTTTTTCATTTCTAAGTTTGGCTCCTGGAAACAATATTTACATGTCAGTTAAAAATAAGATGACAAATTTCTTTTTCAGCTGTAAAAATTTTGCATTCCATCTTCTAAACATGTATTTCTAAGAATTTTTGTGTCTTATTTTTTTCTAGATTTTTGCTTCAGTGTCTTGAGGATCTTGATGCCAATCTGCGAAAACTAAACTCTCGTCTATTTGTGATTCGTGGACAACCAGCAGATGTGTTTCCCAGGCTTTTCAAGGTAATTTGATAAGGCATTTAGGATAATTCAAAATATGATGAATGTAAATGTTTTTAAATAAACATGGTAACATCGTCAATGAAAAAATTTGTTTTCATAGAGACATTAAATCTTAACTATACATCTTGGGCATGTCAGCGTTTTACTCATATTGGTTGCATTTTCGGGCTTAATAAAAAATTAAAGCCTATTGACAGAAGTTCAGATTCTCGAGGTATAGCAAAATAAATTGCCTATAAAAATGCCTGTTTGTAAGCAATTCTGAGAAAAACCAGAAATTAAAAATTTTTAGAATTATACTTTTATTCTTAGTCCCTCTTCTAGAAACAACCATTTCTACACGGTTTTGGTGTGTTCTCATTAGAGACATTATTTGCGTTAAAAGCCCTTGTGTATGTAAGTGTAAATTGTACTCTTTTTTTGTTACTATTTTTTAAATTTTATTTTA